CAGAGAGTGTAGTGTTAGCTTTAGATGTAAGCTGGGGCTCAGTTTCTTCATCTGTGAAATGGGCATAATACATTCCTCATAAACTTATGAGGATGAAATGAGCTAATACATGCTGAGTGAGTAGAACAGTAAGTTGAATAAGGGTCATAGTTGGCCAGTAAGTAAGAATAAGGGTCATCATCATTATCGTTATTCAGGGCTGGGGTGGTCAGAGAGGGCTTGGCAGATGAGGGGTCTAGAAATGAGCAGACAGGAGTGATATGCCAAAGTCAGTGTGCAGGAAGAAGAGGCTGACAAGTTTAAATAGGAGAATGAAATTTTTGGTGAAAATGAGGTGTATGCGATTTAAGTCAAGAGACTGTGGGCACGAATGTATCTGATGGCTCCCGCACTAAGGGTGGGACACACAGCTTCCTCAGCCCTCCTCCCCCTGGTGGGGGCCCCTCATTGTTGGAGTTTTCTTGGCCTGCCCTGTGTGTACCCACGGATGCTAAAAGCCACAGGATTCACTCAGTGCCTCTTCTTCTCAGATCATTGGGTCATTCCCCAGTGACCAAAATTAAGACTTTACGTATGTCATTTATTAGAATACATAATTAGCCAGTGTTTGTTTTTCTTAAAGTAAAATTCAATTTAGGGGAAATTTGCTTGGAGATAGGCCCCAGACCACAAGGGGATGGTGCTCTTTATTTTATTGTTAAGGGTATTTTAGTAAAAAAGTTCGAGGATTACTCTCTCAGGGGACATCTCTGCCGTGACCCCTAGAATGCAACCTCTTCACTTGGCTGTACCCCAGTCACCTTGAGAGCTAAGAGAGGACAAACCTATTTTTCCCCAACACTCTGGACATGCCGGGTGCGTTGGAAACAGCTAAACTATCTGCCACGATGCCAGGGCTTAATCAGAGCAGGTGAATTCCATGCCAGATACACTGAGATGAGCAAAGCCCTGAGGGGAGACACCTCACGGGCCAAAGCCTATATTGGTTAAATCATGACACAGTGAGCTCCTTCTTCTGTTTTATCTTGGGCCACCCCAGGAGACAAAACTCTATCTGCCTGATTCCTAGCTATGTGCTTATAGATGGAGACAAATCTTTCACTATGAGGACTTGAGAATCTGGCAGGTGAATAGAAATTGGGGTTTTCACGGGCCAAAGCCTATATTGGTTAAATCATGACACATGACTTGAGAATCTGGCAGGTGAATAGAAGTTGGGGTCTTTGCCTTATCCTCTGAAGATTACTATGTTATTGAGCTTGTTCACACAGTGGATACTGCCTTTTAGGTAAACCCTTGGGACAGTAGATATCTGTGGGCCTCTGCAGCTGGATGGAGACCCTTGAGGTCTGAAATTGCCTGCAAGGGGTCTATACCAATTCTTCTCAAACACTGCTGCATGTTAGACTCATCTGGGAGATTTTTTAATTCCTTTGCCCAGGCTGCCCCCTAGACCAATTAAATCAGAATCTCCAAGATGGAGCCCAGGTGCTGCGTTTCTAGAGATCCCCAGATGCTTCCACATGCAGCCACATTTAAGAACCAGTGGTCTAGATTCTCTACTATTCCTGGGATGAGAAAGGATTAGTGGGCCCTCATGGCTGTGTCTGGCTGGCTGATTGGCTGGCCTACTTTGAGAGGTGATTCATTCTGTCCATGGGTCAGACCTTGTCTGCCAGATCTAGTGTGGGCAGCAGCCAGCCCAGCCCTCGGTGCTGACATCCCAGAGTGTGAGATTTGATGTGTTGGCCACACAGGGCTCCTGGCACTCCCAGACAGGGCATTGAGGTCCAGACAGCTGTCTTCTGCGTCAGTCCCGGAAAGGGTGCCCACGGCCACTTGCGTCACTTCCCCAGGTTTGTGGTGGGAATGGGGGAGAGGAGATGGGTTATCTGCTGAAGGAAAGGGGAACAGGAAGAAGAAGAAACCAGGGGTTAAGGCAATTCTGACTCTCACTGTATTCAAAACCTGGCCTAGAGCATTGGCCTTTGAAAGCTAGGACATAGCCGATTTCCAATTGGGCTGTAGCTCAATTGGAAACTATCGGAGGAGATCTTCTAGAAGCTTCTAGGGGTTTTTTTTGTCCATCTTTTAACTCTTTTATGTAGATGAGTATGAGAAAGCTGTTCACTCTATTCACTCAACATCCTGTGTGCTTCAGAGATGGACAGAACAGAGCACATAATAGTAACAGGACACTGGTCTTTCTGACTCGAAGCTCCCAGAGGGCAGGCAGGATCAGGCCGGGTCCCATCGAGATGCTCCCAGTGGGGTAGGGGCTGAGGGCGGGGTCTTCAGGAGCTATTCTAAGGGCAGGGTCAAGCTATGAGAAGCTTCATTTTCAGGGTCCCTGGTTTAATGAATCAACAGTGAATAGACAGTCCGAAGCTCACACCCCTTACTGCTCACCTCACGCAAATGGGGAGTGCTTCCCCGTGGGTGGTCTTCAACAGAATCAAGGTCCATTTTCAGAGACCTGAGTGACCACATAGGAAAAAGGTGGCCCTACATCCTGGCGATTGCATCTCACTCCAGAGGTTAAACGTTCCTCCTTGCCATCTTCACAGGTGACGTGGTACCCCAGGGGCCTGGGGCTTCTGGACCTGACCCGCTGATCTGATACACCTTGAATGAACATTTCACAGGCCACATAATGTACACGCCTTGGTTTAGCAGCTGCTCATCCCAGCCCTGCGGCATGGAATTTCAGCGATCATTATGGGGGTGGTACACCAGCCTCTTGAGCAGAAGCGCTGTCCAAGGGTGACCATGCGGTGAATTGAGAAGAACATGGACTCTAGGCTTAGGTGGACTTGGTCGTAGGCCCTACGTGGCCATTTGCTGGCAGTGGGACTTCTATGAGCCTCAGTTTTATAATCTGTAAAATAGAGATAAGATGTGTAGTATATGAGACAAGGTACGTGAAAGCACCCAGCACAGTGTTGTTACCGGGAGCCCAGAGGGAGTGTGCAGAGGGGAGCATACCAGCCTGGGGGAGATGCTGTGATGGGAAGGGATGTCGCCTCACCTTCGTGTGGGTGTGGAAGGCCACACCAGTACTTCTTGGCAGCCACAGAACTTGACCTTCGATCAGCTCTGTGGAATTGGAAAGTGGGAGGAGGAAGGGCTGGTATACTGCTGAGTGTGACACATCTCCCACGGGCAGCCTTGCTGAAGGGACGGAGGCCAGGGCAGGCACTGTTGTGGGTGCCCGTTGTGATGTAATGGCAGAGGTGCTAAGTAAATGCTGTGAAATTCCCCAACCAAACCAGACACCCACTGGACAGTGATGGATGGCGTTCGAGAGGCAGCCTGAAGAACACGGTCACCCGCCCCTCTAGGTCTCAGTTTCCTCTTTTGCCAAAAGAGAATCCTGAGCCTCTCCAAGATGGATAGATTTCTAAGATCAGGCAGATTATATGTGGGTTTTGACCAACTAACCTATTTGTCCCCCAAAGATAGCTCCTGCACTCCCAGCCACACACAGATAGCGTGAAGACAAAACCGGGAAGGTGGGTGACAGTGAACTTGAGAGAAATCCAGGGAATTGACTGAGGGACAGAGTTATTTGGATCATTCACTCATGACCCTTCTCCACAGTGTGAAGGACATTGACCTCCATGTCCTCAGCTCTGCGATTCCTTTACCTTCCCTGGGGCTGGGCACCAGGGGAGGCGATGAGAGGAATAAATCATGGTGTCATGAGAGGGACACAACAGAACAGATCTGGAATTTCCTTTTGGTTCTGTACACACTGACTCTAGGGCTGGAAGCAAGGCACTAAACTCGTATTCTCCTGTAAAGTGGGGTAATAAACTATGCCATGGGGTTTCTGTTTATGAGGATTAACTGAGATAATGCATTTACTTAGCACAGAGAGGGTGCTACGTAAATGCTAGTTGCCCCTATGCCCCAGTAAAGGAGGTTTATCACTTCAACTATCATAGAGGGCTACAGTCCTCTGCCCGCACCACTTCACTCATTTATTTCACAAATATGAATTTATTTCTTGTTATGATGTGGGGCCTGAACTGATGTCTCTGTGCCCTTGGTCCCCTGGGTCTGGGAGAATTGTTGTTGTTCCCATCAGCACATGCTGGCACCACCTGTACATTCCTGTCTCTCCAGCTCTATTGTTATTTCCCTGAGCATCCGCCACAGCACCTAAAAGCATCTTTCCCCAGCAAGCCTCTGTTAGCAAGCACAGTTCTGCTGACTGGCCAGGTTCGTGGTCAATGCCTATGAGCCGGGCACTTTCACACTGGTCTCACGACAAGCCTGAGGGGCAGGTATTGCCCCCATTTCACAGGAGAGGAGATCGAGGCTTAGAGAGATTGCAGTCACTTCCCCAGGAGTGGCCGGTGAGGTAGTGGCACAGCTGGGGTCGACTGTTCCCACCCTGAGTCCATGCAATTCATTTTTTTTAAATTAATTAATTTTTTAATGGTGACATTGGTTAACAAAATCCAGTAAGTTTCAGCTGTACATTTTAACCGTATAATGTACAGCATGGTGACTATTGTTTTAAGATTGTATTGTATATTTGAAAGTTGCTAAGGAAGTAAATCTTTTTTTCCACTTTTCAAATGGTGACATTGGTTAACAAAATCTAATAAGTTTCAGCTGTACATTTTAACTGTAAGGCATATATATATTTACACTATGTGTTCACCTCTCACAGTTAGATTTCTTTCTGTCACCACATAGTTGACCCCCTTTACCCCGTCTACCTCCCCCCTCCCCCCATGTCCATGTCCATGAGTCTCTGTTTGTTTGTCCTGTTCATTTTCATTTTTTTAAAGACTCATTGGCTCACCTTTAATTAGTTTTAACCCTTAAGCTATTAAAAGTGGCATCAATCAGAGGAGAAGGGTGTAGGGGAGTAATTTTCCATCACTTATCTTGTAAACTCATGTTTTAGATTCTTCTTTGGAATAAAACGACCTCTTCACTGCTTACAAGGTTATTTCTAATTTGCAAAAACTCTCTCCATGGTGGTTCTCTGTATACCCCATTCAGCCTCGGCTGCCACAATCACAGACAGAAAGCACAGAGACCTTTTTTCTTGCCTCTGCAGTGGAAACCTTAGCAGCAGACAATAACCGCTCCAGGTCCGGCAAAAAGATGCGTCCTGCAGTTCGCTGTCGCCGTGTGGAGCTGCTGCTTGCTTCCAACAGGGGCCTTTGGGAGGGTGTGGTCATTCCCCTTTGCGTCCTGAGAACCATGGTACACCCACCCCCACTCTATGTCTGTTCCAGAATGTCTGTAAACCTGCAGAGGAGGCACGGCGCCCGCCCACACTGCAGGAGATCAAGCAGAAGATCGCCAGCTACAACAGCCGGGAGAAGAACTGCCTGGGCATGAAGCTGGTGAGCGGGCCTGCCCACCCCTACCCCCCACAGGCCTTCCGCTCGCCCCCCCCAACCCGCTGGCTCCGTGTCCCCTTCTTGTCTGGCTCCTCTGCTCCTCTGGATTCTGGAGCTGCCCCTTTGAGGTCCTCTTTCTTTGGGCCTCTAGAGGCCTCAGGGTTGTGGAGGACAGACAGCCTGGGCTGTCAGGGCCTCTGTGCTTTAGAGAAATAGAATAGATGTTAACATCCAAACCCAATTTCCGGCTCTTCCCCTTTTCCACTGTGACTTTGGGAAATTTTCTTAACTTCTCTGAGCTTCAATGTAAAATAGTGATATTAGTGCCCTTCTGCCAATGTTCTTGTGGGAACTAAATGATCTACAATGGCCAAGGGCCCAATATTGCTTGTCCCCAGAAGCCCTGGCCAAGGGGCGTTCCCAACTCCCCTCGTCTCCCTCCCGGTGGTTGCACAGGTGCGGCCTGTGTCTGGGGAAGCTCTCTTAGACTGTGCAGAGCTCAGAGAGGGCAGGGCACCTACTTTGTGCCAGGTTCAGAGAGGCCACCAGTGGGGAGGGGAGGAGATGGTAGGAGAACCCTGCCCCCTGCTGGTAGCTGAGAGCAACTGGTTCTTCAGGGCTTCCCCTAGATGAGGCGGCAGAAAATCCAGCCACAGAGGGGCCCAGATT